ACTCCACTAAATTTGAAAATCTAAAAGAAATGGATGAATTTCTAAAATCAAGGACATGACCAAAGTTAAACCAAGAAGAGGTCAACAGCCTAAACAGACCCATAGCAAATAAGGAAATTCAAAGAGTAAACAAAACCTCCTGTCTAAAAAAAACCCAGGCCCAGATAGATTCACAGAATTCTACCAGACCTTCAAAGAAGACCTACAGCCAATTCTTCTTAAAACTATTCAAAAAGATAGAAACAGAGGGACATCGCCCAAACTCCTTCTACAAAGCCAGTGTCACTCTAATACCAACCACGTAAAGATACAACAAAAAAGAAACCTATAGACCAATATCCTTAATGAGCATAGATGCAAAGATGCTCACTAAAATACTGGCAAACCACATACACACACATCAAAAAGATCATCCATCACAATCAAGTCAGCTTTATCCCAGAGATGCAGGGATGGTTCGATATACGGAAGTCAATAAATGTAATAAAACATATAAATGGACTGAAAGACAAAAAACATGTGGTCATCTCAATAGATGCAGAAAAGGTCTTTGACAAAATCCAACATACATTCATGCTAAAAGTCCTAGAAAGAATTGGTCTGCACGGAACATACCTCAACATAGTTAAAGCTATATAAAATAAATCCATAGCCAACATCACCCTAAATGGAGAAAAACTGGAAGCATTCCTATTAAAATAAAGAACCAGGGGCTGGAGAGATGGCTCAGAGATTAAGAACACTGGCTATTCTTGCAGAAGACCTGGGTTCGAATCCCAGCACCCACATGGCAGCTAACAACTGTCCGTGGCTCCAGTCCCAGGGGATCTGACAGCCTCTTCTGATCTCCACAGGCATTGCACAACACGGGTGCACTTACATACATATAGGCAATACACTCATACACATAAAAAAATAATACACTCATACACATAAAAAAATAAAAATAAATACGTGGTGGTGCACGCCTTTAATCCCAGCACTCGGGAGGCAGAGGCAGGCA